AGAAAGCTTGAAGCAGGGGTTGAAGAAGAGTGTAGTCGTTCTTGATGATCGTATATTCGGTTCCACAAATCTTGTATCTGATTCCACTGCTTAGAACAATTTCCACACAGGTTGTATTCGGTTCTGGCCTTCTTTTATTCGGTTCCAAAGCTGAATATATATTATAAACAAAAACACTCAAACTGCTACTGCGTACGAAAATCAGAAATTGCGGAAATTCTTACGTGCGAAGCAGCCTATCCAACGGTTGAGTAGGCCATCAATGTCGTCGGAGAGGTCGACGACTTCCGAAACTGTCCAGCCCTTCTGGAAGCGGTAGCGGGTGGCGATGTTATCCTTGTAGAGGTCGGAGATTTTGGTGGAGACCTCGTGCAGGCCCCTGTTGTAGTCGACGAAGCCTTCTTTCGTTTCCTTGAATGCCTTATTCGATTTCTTCTTGCAGGAAATGGAATTCTTCAGTGAGTGCACACGGTGGTGCCAGCTAGTTGGAGACACTGAGTTGCGGTGGTGGCCATGGACTATGACATGGAGGGAGTGTAGGTGGAAGAATGGATTATGGATAACTGTTCTCACAAAAATTAGATATTTTTTTTTGTCATCTTCCTCCGAGAATTAGATGTTTGTTTTATCTTCTTCCTTTCATCTTCTCTTTACATTTTCACTTTCAGTATTAAAAAAATATTACAACTTGGTAGTAAAATATTAGAACTTGGTAATAAAATCATATTTTAGTAAATTATATTACAAAATATTATATTTAAAAATAAATTTATTTTAATAAATTACAATTTTTATACATTTTTAAAATTAATTTTAATTAATGTTAATTTTTTACTCTTTATAAATATTTTTACAATCAAATATAACATTAACAAATATCATTTTATATTATTTTAATAACTAGGGACATTTTGATAATCTTTAATTTCTACCAATTAAACTAATTTTTTAAATCTATCCCATCAATCAAATTCTACACTAATTCTCAGAAACTTTACTTCCAAATCTACTCTCAATTACCCACAAATCCACTCAAAAAAACAACAAAAAAGTATCCTTAAATTCATTCAAATCATCTCCCGAAATCATTAACCCCAAATCACTGCAAAGAACAAAACATTAGAAATTATCTCAATAACAATAAGAATGTTACAATTATATATATATATATATATATATATATATATATATATGAATGTGAAAGTCTGCCTCATCTATTTAGTGGGCTAGCCTTCAAACGTCTATAGAATGGTTTGGAAAGTTCCACATTACCTGTCTCAACCCTAAGTGTGATTAAACAACTTGATTTAATGTCTATTAATTTTAAGTTGACATTTAACGTTTTAAGATCTTCTACACTCAATGTGTAAAACTATACTATATTTAAATTGATATTATAACCAATAACACTTTTCATAATCAGTGGGGAAAAAGTAATCGCTTTGATTCATAGTTTTTTTTTTTTTAACAAAATTTGATTTATAAGATTAATTGACTAATATAATATTACGCTGTCAAAGTATACTACCCTTTGCGGATGCCAACTATCACTGGCTCCACTTTCCAGTATCTACAGTAAAGATAGAGGATTTAAAATTCAATTCTTTTTGTCTCAATTAATTGTTATTAATAATCTATTTGAAACAATTATTTAATAATACTATTGATAGAAATATTAAATAAAAACTTGCCCTATACATATGGATAAGTCTAGCCACGTCACAAGTTTGTTTGTGTATGAAAAAGGTAAAATAATCCATCTGTATCCAGTTCACAAAGAAGATACCGTTTGCTTGTTAATATAATGGCTGATAAGAAGTTTAGTATCTTAAGAACTTCATTAAATATGAGTGATAATATATATATATATATATATATATATATATCTATAGCTATATATATATATCATATATATCGCTATATAAATATATATCTAATAGATATATATGAAAAAAAATTAAAACTATGGGACGTATGTGAATCTATCCATTAAAATCTGAGTTTTTAAATGGAAACACAATCAAAATAATTAATATTAAGCCAGCAGTTTTCATGGTCAGAAAAATATCTTTGACCAATATGCATAGTTTATACATTCATAGATAAGGAACAATTATAAATTGATGGTTCTCAATTTCCATTTCTTCCATTCATTTCTGAAACACAAACTACATCAATCATTTGAAAACGATGAAGATCAAGCACGTAGCATTTCTCCTCGTCTTTGCCTTGATCTCTCAACCGCTACTTGGAGCTGGTGAATCTGTTCATGAGCCAGTGATTGATACATCAGGGAAGAAACTGAGAGCTGATGCAAATTACCATATCATCCCTGCTGTGCCCTTCACCATATGTGGCTTTGTTAGCTGTTTCACTGGTGGAGGCCTTGCACTTGGCAGCATCGATGATGAATCATGTCCTCTTGATGTTGTAGTTGAGAAAGCCGATGAAGGCCTACCACTGAGTTCTTACCTTTCAACACTAAAAAGGGTGTCATTCGTGTCTCCACTGATTTGAACATATTTTTCTCCGATGCTGATGAAAGATGTCCACACCATTCCACTGTGTGGAGGCTTGGTGACTTTGATGCCTCTACTGGTCAGACATATGTGACCACTGGTGGTGTTGTCGGAAGCCCAAATCACCACACAATTCTGAATTGGTTCCAGATTCACAAGTACGAGGATGCTTATAAGCTGGTTTATTGTCCCGGTGTGTGCCCCTCTTGCCACCATTCGTGCAAGGATGTTGGAGTGTTTGTGGATGGGAATAGGAGAATGCATCTGGCACTCAGTGATGATCCCTTCAAAGTTAAGTTCAAAACAGCCTGATCAGCTCTTTCCATTCAAAACTCACAGTGAATGCTTGTGTTGATCATAATGATCCATGTATTAGATTCCTTTCTGAAAAATAAGTGAAGAACACATAATAAAAGATATGTATCTCCATCTCCAAGAAAATGCACAGAAAAACTACACATTTTGTTCTCAGTTTTTTTCCTCCTTTAATTTCTCTCTTTCTTTTAGTTTAGTCCCTAATTTTAGGAACGATGACTTGCATAATCTAATGGACATATCACTTCAACATTCATTTACCATCACACACTACAAATTAATAGCCCCACACGGATACGATACATGTATCAAATATAAAATAAGTATTTGATACACCGATGAATTTATTTTAAAAATAATAAAATACAATACATAATATATGCAAATTGAAAAATGTATAAAATTTCTAAAAATCATGAAAAACATCATTTTTATTATGTGAATACAAATTAAAATCAAGTTTATTAAAATTTGTATAGTGAAAGCTTTATAGCTTAACTGAATTTGGTCGATTTCCCGATAACTTGTCGATCAACCGATCTTTATAAGGATTGTTTGAATCGAATTTCGGTTGAGACCTACTTAATCGAGTTTGATTGTGTTTGACCTTGACCAAATTCGATCAATTTTTTTTGTTTAGGATGACTTAGCCGAATTCATAGATTTTTGATTTGGGACTGTCTCGGCTATTTATGGTTGTTTATGTTGAATTTTACTGATTTTCACTAGTAATTGATTCGGTCGTCGGTCAATTTTGCCAATTTCGATTGGGACCAACTTGACTAAGTTTGATCATGGCTGTCTCAGCCGAATTCAGCAGGGGCCAACTCAGCCAAATTCGACCGATTTTCGGTTAGGACTAAATTGAACGAGTTTTGACTGGGACCGTTTGAACCGAATTTGTCTGATATTCAACACAGACCGACTCGGTCGAATTTTAGTTGAGACCAACTTGACTAAGGTTTTGTGGCTTTCTTGGTCTAATTCGGTTGATTTTAGGTTGGGATTGACACTCGACTGAGTTTTGATTGTGTCTTTCCCAGTCGAATTTGACCAAATTTCGACCTTGACGTATTTCGACATTTTGCCCGACTTGACCCGTCTCAACCTTTGGTCCAACCCAACTTATATCAATTTTTTATTTTTTTTATTTATGGGAGAACCTATATTAAGAATGCAAGTGAGTAAATACACCTTTTTTAGTTTTTTAATAAAAATTATTTATATCTCAATTCTGAATTAGTGCGTTTGGTTAAAAAATTATGCAACCAGTTCAAAATTATGGCAGTTTTAAAAACATGTTAACAGGTTAAAGTATTTAGCAGTTCAGTTCACATTATAATAATTCATTGCAATTCAGTGTAGTACAGTTTGATAGAATAAAAAATAATTTAGTTCAGTTCGTCTAATTAATTTTCAATTTAATTCATTAATTTTCAATTTAATTAAGTTGAACTAATTTTTAGTTCAATTTAGTAGTACAATTCCGTAAGGTTCATTTTCCCTATCCTTATATTATCAATTAGTATAGAAAGAATAATAATAATAAAAGGGACTGAATTTCATTAGTATATACCGTAACATTGAGACATAGCGCATTATGTAAATAAACCTGAAACAACTACACAACGATAAGATATTTCTTCTTTTTATTAAAACTTTTAACATAACATGCATGCAAATCTAACTTATGAAAAAACCTATAAGCACTGAATGAACTTGAATGCTATAAAGAAACTAAACACACTTATTGTTTGTGATTTATTTATTGAGCTTAATTTGGATTGTGCAAGCTGGAACTTAACTTTGAATGGACATCGCTGAGAAGCCAACGCCTATTGCCATTCTCCAATCCACAAAAACACCAACATCCTTGCACAAGTGTTTGGAAGAAAGGCACACACTGGGACAATAAACAATTTTATAAGCACCATCACACTTGTCAATTTTGAACCAGTTGCGTATGGTTCTCCTACCAGGGTTCCCCTTAGAGCCACCAGTGGTCACAACCCACTCTCCTTTAGAGCCACCAAAGTGGTCCAATTTCCACACCAGAGAATACTCATCACAACTAGTACGATCGGTGGAGAACACGATGTTCAAATCAGTGGACTCAAGAACAACACCTTCGTTGGTGTCAAAGGGTGAAAATGACAGTGGCAAGCCAAAAGATCTTTGCACAACCACAACGTCAAGAGGGCATGTCTCACCAATGTTGGCAAGTGAAAGGCCTTCAGCATTCAAACATTCGAACTTTCCACATCTTGTGAAGGTTCTCATAGCTGGAACAATGTAGTAACTCTGACCAACTTGGAGTTTCTTCCCTGATGTGTCAACTACTGGCTCTGCTGGTGCATCAGTTGCTCTGAGTGGTGGTTGTAAGCTTAGGGCAAAGAGAAGAACAAAAGCTAGCACTGTGTTCTTCATTACTGGTTTGCACATATATTATCAGGTACTTTGTATCTGGTTATACTGAGCGAGCATAATTATAAGAACATTAGTGTGAATTTATAGATAGCTTTAATTAGTTAATCATTAATTACTAGTTCTATCTTTGAATCCTTAGTATAGTATATATATATTATAGTGTTTGAACAATACAATTGGCCATGTTAAACCAATGTTCTTTGTGGAGATGGGTTTTTGTTTTGCATCTATCAGGAGTCATTTATGCATCTCTTTAGGTCATGATTCAACTCTTTGTAGAAATAGTTTTTGAAGAGTGATACGTTTTTGTTGATTCTATGGTCTTTTGGCTTATTCTATGGTATGTACGAAATGAATTTTGTCTATGTACGGAAAAGAATTCAGCATGATGGGGCTCAACATTTTCAAAACAGAAGCCCAGCTCAGCAAGATAATCGTATATATATAATATTACGCGGATATATATCACACAGATTTAGACACAGCAACAACTTGATTTCATAACAACTAGTACTATTAATATCTCCTAAAAGTAATACGGTCAGAAAACATTTTCAAATGTTCTGTTCTGATCAATAATAACAAAATTTAAGTACATAGTATTCTTCTACTCTTTAATAATTAAAATTTTAATAACATAAACATGAAATTTCAATTAAAAATAGTACCAAAAGCAATTATATATATATATATATATATATATATAGATATATATATATATATATATAAAATAAAATGAAGTTAATTCATCGGTAATCATTAAAATCTTTCCGTAAATAAAATTATAGGTGATTTACCGATTATTAAAAATTCATTGATAAAATATTTGTCAAAAAATTACTAATGGATAGGAAAATCAATAGGTAAATATCAATGTCCAAAAATTTGTTAATAATTACGGGGATTAAAATTTATTTATAATTATCCATACATAAATATTTGTCCATAACATAACTACTGACGATTTTGATCATCATTAAAATTTATTGATAAAAATTATGATTTGTTTCTCATCTTTCTTTTCTTTTCTTTTTCCTTCTTTTCTCTACTTTCTCTTTCTCCTTTCTCTGTTGTCATTGTGTTTGTAGTCATCGTCGATTCTTTTTCTTTCTCTTTTCTTCCTCATCATCCTCTTCCTCTTTCGTTGTTGGCCATTGCTGCTTCTATTGTTGTATTGTTGCCTCCACAGTTGTCACCTTTATTGCTATTGCCACCACCTCATCTTCCTACTTCTCTTTCTCCTCTTTCTCTTTCTCCTATTTTTCCTCGTATTTTTTTTGTTTTCTTTTTTCTCATTCACTTCCAAATAATTTTATCATATTTGACAAAAATTTAATTATCGATAAATTTATTAAATAAATTTAAAAAAATTTAATTACCAAAAATTTATTATTGATGAATTCTAAAAATAATAATTATCTAAACTTTGATTGATAAATTTTACCGTGATAAGGTCAGAATGGAAAACAGTAACTTTGACTCTCATTTAAGAGACTGCTTTAATATCAAAATAAATTAAATAGAAGACTCCAACAAGTGTTTACATATACTTATACTTTTACCGTGATATGTTCAAAGCTGAAAACATAAACTTTGACTCTCATTTAAGACAATGCTTTACAATCAAAACAAATTAAATCTATATAACTAATAGTTGCTTATGTAGACTCCAAAAAGTGTTTACATATACTCGAGAGAGATGTAATATATTATTCAACTTTTGGTATATGTTATTATTTCAATTTAAAAACACAATAAATGACAACAGAAAGAAACTAATCAGATCCTAAACATGAGATAGGAAGAAACTTGCCATATTCTGACGTGTAATTGTAAGCACAAAACAATACAAATGGATGACATTTCATTTTATGATTATTGTATCTTGCAGCGTAGGATTTCTTACTTTCCATAAATATATTTCTGTGACTGGTCACGTCTGTTCTTCCGTGTAACTCTCATATATATCTCCATTAAGCATGGGTTTTGAATACATTATTCAACTTTTTATTCTCCCTTAATTTGATGTTCTTGAATACTAAAGTGTCTATCCACTTTTCCAAATTTCAATTCCTATCCTATATAGATGACAAAACGAGACAAATTCAGAAATATAAACCATTTACTGCCACAAAATTTATTCTATAAACTTAAAGATATAAGAGTGAAGATATTTCTTCATTTTATTAACTTCTTTTAACATAACATGATTTCACAATTAACTTGATAAACACTGAATTAAAATAAAACACACTTATTAGTTTCTCAGACATTAATTTGTTCAGGAGAGCTGAAACTTGACTTTGAATGGAACATCGCTTAGAGCCAAACGCTTATAGCCATTTTCATCCACAAAGATGCCAACATTCTTGCACAAGTGCTTGGAATAAGGTAACAGAGTTGGACAATAGACAATTTTATAAGCACCTTCAAACTTCTCAATCTTGAACCAGTTTCGTATGGTTCCCCAACCAGGGTTTCCGACAGAGCCACCTGTGGTCACAAACCACTGTCTTTTAGCAACATCAAAGTGGTCCAGTTTCCACACTGTCGAATACTCAGCACAACTGGTATGATCGGTGGAGAACATGATGTTCAATTCAGTGGACACTCGAACAACACCTTTCTTAGGGTTAACGGGTGAGAATGACAATGGCAAGCCACGAGATCCTCTCACAAGCACCACATCAAGAGGGCATGATTCACCAATGCTGGCAAGTGAAAGGCCTCCACTATTCATGCATCTTCCGTATCCTCCGCATCTTGTTGAGGGCACAGCCGGAACAATGTAATAACTGAGACCAACTCGGAGCTTTTTCCCTGATGTGTCAACCACTTGCTCAGGTGATGCATCTGCTGCTCCAAGTAATGGTTGAGAGCTCAAGGCAAAGAGAAGCACAAATGCTATCAGTATGTTCTTCATTATTGATTTGTGTGTAATTCAGGTTATTTTGGTTAATGATGGATGGACCATACTGGAGATGCGAAGTCTGAATTTATAGATTTCTTCGTTTAATATTAATTCCACCTTTTGGATTCCTTGTAGTTAGTACCTTTGAAATAGTATATATTTTCTTTAAATAATTGAACAATACCATTGGCCATATCAAGTTGATAATTAATTGATCTAAAATCATGTAGCCATGGCATCTATATATCGGTTAATATGTGTAAAAATGGTTGACATTAATGTTCTTTGTGGTCTTAGGATTTTATTTACAGCTAAATGGAAGCCATTTTGCGTCTCTCTAGGTGATGGATAGGATTTGCTGAACGATAAATGTCTTCTTACTGATTCTATGGTCTGTTCGCTCATGTTGTTCATGACTAGATTAGTTGACTTTTTCAAAAGGAGTAGGTAGCCCAATCTGTGTGTTAATGTTTAGAGATATAGTTCCACGGGTATTCTGAAAGAGATAAGAAGAAAATTTGAGATAAGATGTAATAATGCTATGAGTAAATAATATTTGAGAAAATATTAAATATCACTATATGGTATCTCATAACATAATTGTTTACGCACTTTTAAATTCTCGAGTTTCGAGGCTGTCAGTAATAAAAGAAGAAACAAGTCTATAGGAAATATGTAGTTTTCTTCAAAAACAATGTGATATTTAGCCATATACAGTGAAAAAACAAAGTTCAGGGCTCCGTGAATGTTCAAAAACAGAAGTCCATCTAAGAAACAAGCTCATTGATGCTGACTAACCGCGTTTATATTCCTCAGAGATTTAGACAAAGCAACCAGATTTGATAGCAAAACATTGGATGCTATTGAATGTTACAATTACTACAAAACAATCTCCTGGAATGGAATACTGGCAGAAGATTGGAGAAAGCAGAAACATATGAAAGCAGGCCATGGCTTAAACAGGATTCGACTTACCCGCAAAAAATATTCAAATAACAGAACCTAAACATAAATTTGCGATGTTTTTTTTAGTGAATTTCTTATGTTGATGGGTCCAACAGTATTAAGCAAATAAAGGAGTTTAGTAATATAAATGTGGATGTTTATCCTGAATCCCATGGATAAGAAGCAGACTATAAATTGATGCAAACCATCTTCCTAAACTCCATCCATCAGCCAATATACAAATTACTCAAACCAATTCAAAATAAACAGTGATGAAGACAGCATTGTTCGCTTTTGTCCTTCTCTTTGCCCTGGTCTCACAACCACTTCTGGGAGCAGCCGAAGCTTCACCTGATGAAGTAGTTGACACAGTAGGAAAGCTTCTACGTGCTGGCGTCAACTATAATATTCTTCTGTCCATGCCCTACACAAATAGTAGAAATCCAAAAGGCCTTGGCCTCTCAAAGATCGGTAAATCATGCCCACTGGATGTAGTGGTTGTGGACAGATATCATAGTTTGCCACTAAGGTTTATACCTGTTAACCCCAAAAAGGGTGTTATTCGTGTCTCCACTGACCTAAACATCATGTTCCCTCCTAACATCACTTGCCCTCACCATTCAACGGTGTGGAAGCTTGAGAGTTTTAAGGTTTCTAAGGGACGCTCACTCTCGTTGGTGTCAACCGGTGGTGTTAAGGGCAACCCTGGTCGGGAAACCATTGGAAATTGGTTCAAGATTGAGAAGTACGGTGGTGCTTATAAACTGGTCTATTGTCCGAGCGTGTGCCCTTATTGCAAGCATGTTGTGTGTGAGAATGTTGGGATGTTTGTTGATGAGAAAGGGAATCACCGTTTGGCTCTAAGTGCTGTTCCATTCCAAGTTAAATTCCTCAAGGCCTAACCATAGTACCTCTTGTTGTGCATGAACAACTAAATGTTTAACTCTTTCTGATAATAAGGTGTTCGTTCCATGTTAATTTGTGAGGATACCCTAATTATAGGTGAAATCCTTGTTATGAAATAAATAAGTACTCAAATAAATGGACAATTGTTTTCTTCTAATTTGTATGTTATTTTACTAGTGTATATGACCATTTCCAAACACAGAATAGCCACGCCTTTAATTACAATCCAAAAATGCTTTATTACCACTGTGCATAATTCTTCACTAGGATGATCC